AAAATATTTTTCATATCGAATTTTAAAAATTTTGTTAAATACTAATGATAAAATATTATCAACTATTTCTGATAATTCAAGATATGTTGTATCAATATTTTGAGATATTTTTTTTGCTTTTTTGATTAAATTAGATGATGCTGAATCTCTTTTAAGTATATCTAACCACATATCATTAAATATATCAATATTAAATTAAAGAACTCGATGATTAACTCGTGTTTCAAATCAGCTATTAAAAAAATCTTGATTTCAGCATCAGAAAGTATATTAAATATAGCATCTCAGCCTGCTACAATATATCCTTTTTGTTTTGTGATTTCTCGAATAACTTTGTTGATAGCTTCATGAATATTAATATTATTTGCAATCTTAATCAATAAATCGTTAGAAATTAATTGTTTGCTATTAATTTAATTAACTTGAGTTAATATATTTTCTTCTTGTTGATTTAATAACCATAAAATTATTCTAATTTTTTCTAAATCAGAAAAATTTAATGCTATATAATGATAAAATAATCCACTATCAATAAATTGATAATTTAGTCTTTCTGCTAATAATTTGCCTACACTTGATTTGCCTGAAGCTGTTTGTCCATTAATCGCAATATTAATTTTTGGTATGATGATAAAAAAATAAAAAAAATAATTGGAATAATAATATAATTAAATATAAAATATAATTTAATAATAAAAAAATTATTTTCAAAAATTAATTCTGTATCCATTTTATATAATTAAAATTTTAATCGGTCAATTAACTAATTAGATTTATTAAATGTCTCTTTCTATTTTCAATTAAGAAAATAATTAAAACTAGTTGTTGAAATTATAATTCTGTTTTAATTTTGTTTAAATTATAATATTGATAGAGTTCTATTCTATTAAACAAAATTTTATATTTATCATGAAATTTTTGAGCTTCTTTATAATTTTTTTTACAAAAAATATAATCATTTTTTAATTTTTCTGATTCTTCAACAAATTGTTTCATAGTTTGCTCCATAATTACACAATTAAATTTCTAATCAGTTATCAACTGATTAGATATTTTATGATAAATAACTAAATAAAAATAATTTTATAATCTTTAATAATAATCAATAAATCAGTTTTAAAATTATGTAATTTTAATTTTATATTATATGCAGCTATTATTAATTGATAAATTTGTAATATAGATTTAATATTTGTAAAATTATAACCATTATTAATTTGATATTTATCAAAAAGTTTTTGATAAGTTTCAACAAATTTTTGCACTTTTATATATAACTCATCAGTTATTTGCTTTGTAGAAATATAATTAATCAATTGATTATAATCAGAACAATATTGAAGATAA